CTGATGGTTCAATGAGCCACTCTGTCTACAGGAAAGCCACCCACACGGATGCTTATCTAAAACCGGATTCCCACCACCATCCATCCCAGAAGAATTCCCTCATCAAGACTCTATATCATAGAGCCCAATGCATCTCCGACCATGAACACATTTCCAGTGAACTCAAACACGTACGCCAAGCTCTTAAGGCAAATGGTTACTCCGACTATACAATCCGCAAAGCCATCACTCCAACCATCAAGAAGGATCCTGTTGAGGAGCCTTTCAAGACCATCACCTTACCCTACATTGCTGGAGTCACAAAAAAGATCTCCAAAATCCTGATTAAACACAAGATCCAGGTCCGATTCAACACAGTACATAAAATCCGTGATCTGGTACCGTCTGTAAAAGATGTGGTTCCAGACATACAGTACCCTGGCGTCTACAAACTAAGTTTCCTCTGTGGTAGCAGTTACATTGGGGAAACCAAACGACATGTCTCGGACCGCATCCGTGAACATAAAGCTGACCTGAAACACGGTAGGACAAACACCTCAGCCGTGGCAGATCACTGTTACAACTCAGTGGGCTCACATGATATCGACTTCTCCAAGACAGAGGTTCTCTGCAAGCCATCTGGCTATCATGAGAGATTCGTTCATGAGGCGATCCACATATACAAACACAGAGACAATTTTAACCGAGAAGATGGATTCTGGCTCAGCAATCATTGGAAGGACGTAATAAACCATTTCGATACACATTAGGGTGTGTAGAATAATACATAGTGTTATATTAAATGTATAAGATATAGGTTGGTTTACAGCAATACAGTATATAATTTAATGTTGGGTTTATCTATGGCAGTATATAGTACGGTATATGCTCGTGTGATATAAGAGAATAAGGTTTAGATGGAAGCATATTATAGAATTTTTACGAGGTAGAATTGTAATGTATTACTTGCTGTTAGTAACTCAGCTTATTATAGAGTATAGTAAGTATACTGATGGTGCGATGCAGTTTATACTTTAGTTTTTTATGTAGTTTATACTTTAGTTTTCTACGTGGTTGTTGAGTAACTGCAGCTACATATCATTAACATTCCTTTCCTTTGTTACTGCTAATCCCTGCACCCCCCTTGGTTGCTGCTGATCCTGCATAATGCATGGGCATAATATGACTTTGACACCCCCCCGCCCAACGCCTACGCATTTTCCATGAATATGCTAAATTCCTCTTCACATGCACATTCTTTTTGTTAAGGCGCTCTTCAACCCCCAATGCAGCTTATATATAAGCTCCTAGTTTGGTAGTGTCTCATTCTTCACCTGAAGACGGCTGCTTGCGTTGTAGCCGAAACGTCGTGAGAATTGTTTTATTATGTTTTATTTTTATTATTTTATTACTTCCCTTCTACGTGACTTTACCGAAAGAAACAAGAAGATGAATCCCTGCAGTCACGAAAGCTTTGAATCGAAATTTACCTCTCCATACTCAAGTGAGTTTTGCCGCAGTACTCAACTCTGTTGGAACCCGTCCGTGGAAATTCCACACTCCCATGTTTGAGCCTATAGATTCATAGAATGAGCAAAGTTGAAGTGACAATGTGGTAGAAAAAAAACGGGCTGCTTGTTATGAGAATTAGAGCGAGTATCTTACGGACACGTTGTGTATTTGAAGTCTGAGTGTTCTTCCCTTGTTTGCATTGTCTCCTGACATTCCACTTCCCTTTCACGCTCAATAATTTACGAAGCAAAGCAAACGAGAGATTGGCAGCCGATTTGTGTTAATGTCTTTGTTCAAGGCGGAATTTTCTCGAAATGTATTTTTAAAGGCCCAATTTAAAATAAGCTGGTTATAGCTACACGAACATACCCTCTATCTTAGAAGCCAGGTGACCTGTGTCAAGTGTGTCAAATTGATGTTAAATCATTAGACCAGGGAGGTGCAGGGAGCATGCCCCAACCGCAAGTGGTTTACACCCTCAGTGTATGGACGTTGGGATAGGAGGAGGAGAAGGGGGATCAGGAGCAATACTTTTATATATATAACCAGCTTTCATCTGGCCTAGACCAATTTGATAAAGGTGAACCAGGTGCTGCAATTCACTGAAGCGGTCCCTTATTTCCGTGGAACATTTCATTAACGCCCAGCCCGAGACCACCTGACACTTACTGTGGCTTGATCCGTTTCCAAAGTCATTATCAAACGTGAATGACAGCTGCTGCTTCCGTGGCGTGCAGATGGTTTTGCTTTGGTTGAGGAGTGCCCCATTCAAAGTGCCCAAATTGCGGTGCATTTACATCGCATACAAATCGTTCAGTATATTTCATGCGCATATCTCCGCGCAAAGCAGCGTGGATGAGAATGTACGCTTGCAGTTATGTTGAGAGAAACCAAAGAGGAAAACGTGGACTTTAAGAAAATATGCGGGCTAAAGAGACATCATCCTGACTGTTAAGAAATGTAAGTTTGGGTTGCGCAGGACATGCCACTGGAAGGGCTAATTGCTGGTGCTTGTGAATAAATGATGGGGTGCCAGTCAAGGGAGGAAACCCCACGCAAGATTTCGTCCACTAGGGAGACGGAGTGATGAAATCAGCTCATGTGTAGGTGGATTGCTACATCGCAGTACTGTGAGCAGGCCTGCATCTAGCAATGCATCGTGACTGATGATAATAACGATGACACTTCAAAAGCTGCTAACGCCATGGGGAGCTCACTTTACTAATTTAAAAACATTCTTCACAAAACGCGATTGGCATCGATTCCCTCTGGAAAAGGCCTGGCTGCTGTTGTCACATTCAAGGTCAGCAAAAACCCGCCGCCCTCATCCTGTCACATTAAGTTATTATTTTGCAGCTGTCCAGGGCCTGTAAGCCCAGCCATGAGGTGCTGACTGCCAAACTCTGCCAGTCCTCAGTATTGACGCTGATCGATGGGATAATTTCGTATTGATAACACAATGGCCTATGAATCCGGTAACGTATGTTTGATTTCCGGTCGCCGCTAGCAGTGAGTGATATTTGAACGAGCCTTGCACACCCCCCCCCCCCATACACCCTCACCCCCCCAACCCACCACAACTTTAGCAACTTGCATAGACCAGCATGGTGAAGTATGGTCAATAAACCTCCATTACGAGAGTCTGTCATTTCAGAGTGGATGGATACATTGCTATGATTGTTTTATAGATATTCTATTGGAGCCTGCAGCCCAGTTTACAATGGGAGCTAATTATTTTCTCGGCTCTTACTATTTTTACCGTTTTAATTTTACAGGTAAGGCCCACTGAGCTATGTAGCTCTTTTTCAGAAGCAACTTGGCCACAAATTGTCCACAAATTTTATTGGCTTATCATGTGGAAATTTATAGTAGCCAAATGCACTAAATGCACGTTTATAAATCTTGAGAGAAAAACTGGATGACCCGGAGTAAAATCTACATGATCACGGGAAGAGCATGCAAACTCCAAATATACAGGCGTCAGGGTCGGGATTAAACCAACGACCTCCTGCATACCAGGCGAAGTAGTTCACAACTCGCTACTGTGGCACCCAGCTTATTGGACATCCACCCAACCTCTCTTGGAATGGAATTCCCTCCTATCGTCTCTTTTGCAAATTCCCTATTACAGTGCTCAATTAAAACATATATCAACTCTTATCTTTTACACCTTCAATAATGCCGTTTGTTTCCAAGCGTTTGGCATTTTGGGCTTTTCGACAATGTGCTCAGCAACCCAGATGAAGAAAAATACAGTAGTAAATATCAGAGCTGTAGGATTGCAATACAAACGTTTATTTTTGTCCACCCCTACGAAGGCATATTGTGGACCACCCGTTTGTTATGTCACCGTCAGAGAGAAGTCTGCGCTGTGCTTACGTTCGTGGGGGTTTTAACTGCAAAGGGAACTCTAATCCACTCCGCGTTACAGCCGCGAGAGATGCGTTGTGTGTGACGGAGAGAGATTTTGAGGTTTTCTTGTTGAATTCTCTCATTGCATACCAGACTGGCCATGTTGGCATTAACCAGTCTGTCACCATATCGCTTTGTCACACCTCCAACAACAATGCACAAGCACACACACACGCACGGATATACACACACACACACACACGCTGACACACCGACTTGTCAACACTCACCGATTCACGCACACTTGTCATCTATGCATCAACGCACATTTACACACACAGACAATAGCAACGACCCACCATATAGCCTGCACAGACCATTGGGGCAAGTGCTGTTAGTGGGCACAGACAGGCACCTATTAAGCCCCGTACAGCAAACTAGAGAGTTGTTGCCAGGACTCCGCCTTTGTCTCCCCAGTGCTGATGCTTCCACACTAGATACTCGTGGTAACGCAACACGCAAACCGCTGCACCACCGCTCCTCACACACGCAAACACGTTTATGTGGCGCAGTGGGGGAGTGGTGGCACAGTGGTTAGTGTGCTTCTCTACGAACCCGGTGACCCGAATTCTGTTCCCAATCACGACCACCAAGAGCTGTGATGATTATCTAAACGAACCCTGGAACTCCCTCGTTCGACTCAGTCTCAAATGAGTACCTGGTGCGGTCTGTAAACATCGCCATGGGGGAGACAAAAGCAGCCAGGCGTGGTGCTAACCATCCATCCCATCATGTATCATGCCGGGCTTCATTGGTGCTCACTAACAGCACTTGCCCTAACGGTCTGTTGAAGGCTATACAGGGGATATTTGTCTGTGTGTGGCACAGTGATCTGGTGACTGAGTTCAATTCCCGTTCGTGACCACTAACAGTGGTGAATTTTGGAACTGGTCCTGGTGGGCTTTCCCTGGGTGGACTAAATGAGTACCTGGTGCAGTGTGTAAACATCATCACTGGGGAAACAAAGGCGGCCGGACATGGTGCTGGCGACCCACCCCCTCGTGTGCCGTGCCAGCCTTCATGGGTGCTCGCTAACATCACTTGTCCCAACAGTCTGTTGTGAAGGCTATACAGGGGATCTTTGTGTTCGCATGCAGACCTGAACAAGAGCCGCAGGAAGCTCTTTGACTCCCCGCTTCGCTCCGCCTTCCTGGAGGGTGGTGCCAGCGGACGGTTACCACGACACCACGGCGAGATGGCCAGTCAGAGTGGCCGGTGGTGACGGGAGCATTACTGCGGTCACTCTGCAAACCAGCACCGTTGTTACTGGGAGATCAACGAAGCTTAACCTGTGCAAGATTTATTTAACGCTGTTAATGACCAACAAAGGACAAGGGGAAAGTCACACACTGAATGTTAAGATATTTTAGCTCACGCCTGGCTGTTTTTTGGTGCGCGCACGCGCGCGCGTGTGTGTGTGTGTAAAAAATACTGCGTAACCCACGGTGTTACGATAATACACTTAGTCTGAAAAAAATGTAAGTATCGCAACAGTGTTTTGGATAGGTTGTGACAGATATATATGTGTGAAGATGTTTAATACGGCTGGTGATGTTTTAGCATAAATGTATCTAATGTCTTGTTTTCTTTATCCGTCGAAAGGTTAAGCTGCATTAGGTACTACGAGTGAATGTCTATGCACAAGGGATTAAACGGAGTGCCTTGTTTTGTTTCATCAACACTGTATGAGGACCAAAGTTAAAGACCAACATTGTCAAGCAAAGGGGTAGATTAGTGCTAAATCGTTGTAAAATAATGAACATGCACTATGTCCAGTCACTGGAATGTTTTTATGAGATTTTTTTTACACTAAAATGTGTGAAGTTAAAACATACCGTTATTTTGTGTTGTTCTTGTAAATTACATCAGAGTACAACCAATCCAAAGGGGTTAATTCTCCCCATAACTAAGGAACGCTGCTCTTTGGACAAATACCATATTATCGAGGGCCACACATCACTCCTCCCCCACTCCCCATCCACCATCTGCCAATGGCAATGCAAATTACCGGTTAGTAGAGACAAAGGCAGAATTCTCTGACTACAGTTCATTGCTGAAGGGCCTCTGCCACATATTTTCTGGACATGACCTTGTGGTTTCTTGGGTACATTCCTTGTGATAAGCTCATGCCAGCTGGGTTCTGGACCAAAAACGTGACCTCACAATTTATATGAGAACCACTCATCACGGGCTGCAGTCTTAACTAAGGCTGACATTTTCACGCGAATCGGCAAGCACTTTAACAGAGTAGAGACTGCCAAATACATTGCTACGGCCGCCTCTAATCTTAACATCAGAGGAGATTGTTGGACAGCTGGTTGTCTCCTTTGACCTGCTTGGTTGAATTGTTTTTGTGCAATTTTTAAGTGGGGATTTTTTTTTATGGAATTGGATGATGATAATAACAAGCCCACCAATGAAGGGATCACGCTAGAAAGTAAAATATATATGCACGTTTACAAGCAGCAAACCAATGTTGTTCAAAGAGCACCTGAAAGCATAGTTAATATACGATACAATACCGGGCAGCATTTCCCATATATGTGTAATCCCATTTTCACGATCATGTGTCAGTGTGCAGGAATGTTAATGTGCTAGTAAAGCAGATGCTTTATTTCTCATTGGAGGAATTAGCTTAACATGATATGTGACGACGTGACATTATCACTAACGGGACCAGCGTGCCAATTGGAATGTTAATATATAATCAACGCAATTCAGCGGGGCATTCATAAAAAAAGCACGAGACGGTAATTAATTATTCATTTTAAGAGAACAATTTACCCACCAACACTAGCCATTAAAAAAAAACCGTAGTTCACAATTTTGGCTGACTGGCTATCATCTGTGATGTTGTGCGAGATGTACGGCATGGGTTGCGCATGAAGGGAGGGTGTTCGCGGTCTTGGCAAGTGCTCGCAAGGTCACTCAAACCCTGTCCGTGTGGTGACCGTTAACCGGAGCGTCTGTCGGTGAAACACTGGCACGTGACAGCTTTAGGGTTCACACGTATTGTTTTCTTATTATTATTGCTACTATGCTTGTCTACCCAGGAAAGCCTCACTGAATCTGAAAACTTTTAACCAAGCAATAGTAGCCGCAAGGAGAAGTGTCATGCACACCACACGCACGCACACACACACGAATGTATGCAGCAGCTGATGCTGTTCGCCAAGTGGCGGTAACGTCACCATTATGTTGGTGCCAGGCTAGGTACCCTTTTAGGCCACGAGAATATAGGCATGGACGCGAGAGCGCACACGCAATTTATTTCCAGAAGAAGGCCCATTGAAATCTCCATGGCTTCTCTACGAACTGTTATTGGGTCTACTCCCTTGCGTAACGTCATCGAAGCAGCACGTTGTTAATGCTATATATCAGCGGTCGGGAACCTATGGCTCGCGAGCCATATATGGCTCTTCCGGTGACGGCATATAAAATCAGTTTGGGACTGATTTTAAAATAATTGTGATATTGCTTAATAATACTGTGTCATTTTAAAGTAAACAGAAATTAGTTTTGAAGATAAAATTTCTCGGGTCACGGGTCCCGTGACCAAAAGTCGCATTAAAAGTAAGACATATTTAATTTATTATACGTTAAAAATACTATATGGCTCTCAATGAAATATATTTAGAAATATTTGGCTTTTATGGCTCTCCCAGTCAAAAAGGTTCCCGACCCCTGCTATATATTAACACGCATTCACTGTAACCAGTCGAAGACGCCCCTCCCCTGCCCGCTGCTTAGCCTTATTGTCTATAGGGGGAACGTGTTGTTAACAAGTACCTCTTAATGCTAGCACAGCACACAAGAGCATTGTGTGGACAGCACCACGCCGGACTGCCTCTTCCTCCCCGATGCTGACACGTCACACCATACGTGAAGCTGAATCGGTGCAGGGGAGGCCTCAGACAGGTTCAGACCCCATGTGTCACCGATGTTAGCTTTGGTCTGGAATCGAATCAAGTTTTCTGGAATTGTAGCCCAGTGCACGACACTACTACATCACAGATCCCCACGTGACGTCACTTCGGTGCTTGTGCCAGGCTACGTGCCGTAAGAGACCATGTGATGTATCACATATCAATTCACCAAACCATTACATTGTGAAACATCATGACTGCCAGGCCAATAAATTGTGATGCCACACACTGCTCAAACACCCAATTTGCAGACCGCTCCACAGAGGGTTAGGCAATGTGCGTGGCCTCACTGTAACGTGGACTTGCAAGCATTGAGCAGCACCACTCTCAACGAGCACTGCATTAATGCAATTGCACGTTTAGCTTGCGTTAAATGCGGCAGGATGTTACTGCGGAGGTTTTCGTGGTCGTGCTCCTGTTTAGCTCCCCGTTGCTCCACGTGTTGGGAACGATGTCCGACGTTTCGCTCCCACGTGCTGGGAGCATCTTTCAGGAACTGAATGGGGTGGCTCACTTTCATCTGCTCACTTTCTCGGTCGATTACGACAGCGCTCATATAATCACAGGGAGAACGTGAGCCACTCCGTTCGGTTGCTGAAGATGCTCCCAGAACGTGGTGCGAAACATCGGACATCGTGCCATAACAACACGGGGTACAATCCGAACATGCATCAGAGAGCTACACCACAATTATATTTACGATCCGCAAACACAATACTCGTTCATTTATACAAGTGTTTATTAGGTAGGGCTTTCTCCCAGTGGGGAGCGGTATTGTAGCGGTTAGCATGCTGCGCTACAAACCCGATAATCTGAACCAGTCCTGGGCCTCCCCTAGGTCGACTCAGCCTCAAATTAGTACTTATTGGGTTGTGTAAACATCACGACTGGGGAGACAAAGGCGGCCGGGCGTGGTGCTGGCCACCCACCCCCTCCTGTGCCTTCATAGGTGCTCAGTAACGTAACTTGCCCCAACAATCTGTTAAGGCTACACGGGGGATCTTTGCCTCCCAGTAAGCATAGAACATTGGACCAAAGTTGGTTCAACGGTTCCCAACACATGCATGTTTACTGGGCTTAGTGTGTGAGTGGAGCTTGCTTCGTCAAAAGAAATAACGTGTAATGGGATAATAAATGAATGTTTTTTTAATGATGCAGTTTTAAATAGGCATTTTAAATAGGTTGTTTATAAATCATTACATTTTTTTCCCCTCAAACAACCACAGATGTATTTATACGATTTTAAGAGCATTTCATTTTTCTTATAACCAACTCTATATTCTTCACCCATATTTTAGTGGACATTACTAATAACAACTGTTATGAGATTTGTTTAGACGACTAACACACGGAGCTCACGTTCTCTCCAACGGCGTGCAGTACAGTGGCACACGTCCCACGAGTTTCATGGCATAAGGCTGGATACCCGTCACGGTTGAATGTTCTCATTCAACAGCTCTGAAAGAAGATGGCAAGCCCCGAGCGTCATCAGCCAGTGGCTTGATCGTTCCCTATCCGGCAGCTTTCCAGTACGCACACACGCGTGAACTAGACCACTGCTGGAGCATGTTACCTATGAAGGTGTGTAGGTTGGTGTGTCTGCGGGACATGACAACGTCGCGGTGGGCTTTGTGTTAATCAACGCACATTCCTGACAGTGCACACGATAATGTAAATCAATATTGGTTCTCAACAATATTCGTTCCACCTCAGACAGTAGCAAATATTCATAATAGGGTTTTGGGTCAGATCGCGTTATTTATAAATGTGTCGTAACCCTCCACCACCCGATACGGCCAAACAGTAAAAAAATGTGTCACGTTTTCAAAGGACAAATTAATTGACTTCTTTAGCCCACCGGTGTGCTGAAGAGAGAATCAACACCCTGATGCTGCTGCTCTATTTAAGACCGGAAGCAACAGGAGAGCTTCACCAATCTTGCCCGATGAAGCTGATTGTAATTATCAGCGAAACGTCGTGCTACTCAAATTTTAAAATGCTGTTGATTCTCTCTTCAGCACACCGGTGGGCGAAAGAAGTCAATTAATTTGTCCTTTGAAAAGGTGACACATTTTTTACTGTTTGGCCGTGTCGGGTGGTGGAGGGCTACGACACATTTATAAATAACGTGATCTGACCCAAAAACCTATTATGAATAATATTGGTCGCGAAAGCCTACGTATTAAATTGAGTAGCAAATATTTTGGCCAAAATTGCTTCCTACCAATTGAACATTTGTTCGTGCCAGCTTTAGGATTTGTAACAACAACAACAATATAGACGATTACAAATATTCAGAATGGGAAACGGTTCCTGAATATTCCTTCCCTCGGGGAAACCCATGCATTCGTCCCTTGAGGAACAAATATCCAGAGGAAACGTGCATTTAGTGACAGCTCAATCTCAGCATCACCTCCCTTTGGGCTATATCTGTATACGTATGTTGAACTTCCTTCGCACCGTACGTAACCAACCGTGCTAATATACACAACAGCTCACACCTGCTCCGTCACGCCCATAACATCGCTCATAAACATCGTCAAACCTCAGAACTCTACTAATCAAATTGCCCGCTATTTTGTGTCCGAGGCTCACTTGTTGGGTTTTATTAATGCCCTGCTACACCACTTTGCTGTGGAAGCTCATTCGTTATTTTCCCGCCACTTTTTAAAATAAATAATTTATTTCACGTTATGTTGAATAATACTAACAATATCGTTTTCTTATATATATATATAAACAATTCCGACACTGGTTCTTACAAGTTTGCCTTTTGATGATAAAACTGCGCTAATTATTTTAGATAATGAGTCTGATGTTCATTGTGAAGTCACGGAGTACTATGCCAACCATCAATGAGGGCCGATTTAAATGACTTCCTACAATGTAAATAGTGTTGTAATTAAATCATGGGCTTGGGCATAATGAAAATATCGTCTTTATATACGAATGAAAGATATTTCTGTTCTTAACAATGCTCATTAAAGCTTTATGAATGGGAAGTTTATAACGCGTTATGCATTGTGTACATTGAAGAGAAATTAAATCTACTGTCACCCATTGTTTTCTAATCGTCGACTGTAAGGTATTCATTGGAAAGCGTTTGTATGCCGAGCAAAATGTCACTGTAACTTCCGAACACAAAGCGCTGTCGGTGCTTTTGCTGAAATGTTTCGTAAGATTTTTTTTTATTGTGAAATAAGGGACATTTATTACATTTACACTTGAAACGATGCATTTGACTGGAGTTTAGATTGAAACGCTTGTGCTATTTTCACTTCACAGTCTTAAAATAAAAAAAGGAGAGAGAATATGCCGGTGTGTTCAAAGCAATCGCCGTGTTCGCCATTATTGCTACGCACGTGTAAGCGGTTGTATTTTTCAATTACAATGCGCGCACTCCAAACTGCTGCGCTGTACAAGTAAAATGTGTAATAAAGGACAACGTGATGTACGATGACACACCATATGGCCGTATGGCAGTAGCCAAATATTCCACAGCCGTGAGCCATATGCCCATCGCATCGTGTTAGTGTGGGGCAGGGCAGGGCAAATGCGTCGGTGCCATTTCTACTTCGGATTAAACGTCCCCGCTGCATGTGATGCTTGCAGGTAGCATCGGCCTTTTACAAATGAGCCCTGCCAAGAGTGTCCGTGAGTGTTTTCGAGATGTCCTTTGAGTTTATTGCGCGGATTCGCACGTTCACTTTGGTATCTGTTTAATGTGCTCCATTAAATGAAAGCTAAAATATAGATACAACAAAAACATTGTCGGGAGCAGTAGACATAATTTTTTTATCTCGGCAGAACCGCGCGACATCTTTTTATGTAAAATCGGAATTGATGTTCAAATGGTGTGTTTAAATGAACACAGTTGGGTTTTTATTTAGTTCAGAGGAAACCAACACGATCGATGACCAATGGGTGACCGAAACGCCTCTCGTGTGTTTACGATTCGCCACGACGTTTGAGAGTGAAATGCGCCAGAGGCATTTTCTTGTGGCGGCACCAGTGGTGATTCGTGGCTCCACATTGAGGAACAAACAAAGTCTGCCACGGGGTTTCCAGCTTCGCGTGATAAATTGTGCGTGTGGATTGACTGAGAAACTGGAATGTACTGGCAGGATTTCACACATGGAGACCATAGACTCACACAGAGACCCACAGACTCGTACAGAGACCCTGACTCATGTAGACACCCATAGACTAATACAGACATCCACTAAAAAGCTGAAATAATCTGGCAGTGGCTTCACCGTCTGCACTTTTTCCACCAGACGGACGCTCGCAGTCGATGCAGCTCCCAAGGAGAACTGGTCTGGAGGGAGCTCAGCATTGCTGTAGCTTCATCATCATCACTGCACATTGGCCTTTGTGTTCCAATGATCAATTAGTCCACCTGCGTGTGTCACCATCTGAGAACGAAAAATACTGATGCGGAATCTGTTGCCTCATCAACCTGAAGCCACGAACATCCCACCCGGGCAGCACGGATGGCGCATTACGCGATGACGTTGTCTGAATGACGCTGATCCCAAAGACCAAAATTCACGACGAAGGAGGGTGCAGAGCGAACAAAACATCGCAGGGAATGCATCGCAGGTAGCCAAGGAAGAGGCTCCCGTGCACACAGAGCGCGCATGGCACAGACGGCGGTGGGGAAGGGGGGGGGGGCTAATGAAGCGGAGGAGATGAATTACTTAAAATAGCGCGATCAAACGGCACGTTTGCAGTGCGCGGAGCTTGCATCACGCAGCAGCAGCATCTCCGTCGCCGCAACCGCCACCGCAACCTTCATGTCGTTAACCAAGCGACGATAACGCCCGAGTATCACGTGGCGTCGCGCTACAATCTCACCGGAGTTCGTGATGCGAAATAACTCGGCATAGTCAGACGTCAACAAGGCAAGACGCAAAAGACAGCGCTCTTGGTTATTTTTCTATAAAAGATGAAGTTTTCGGGCAATGACCCTTCATTTAACATGCTGTATTGACACGTGTTGAGTTTTATTTTTTTAAATCTGAGCTTGTGCACCACTGCCATGTTTTTAACATTTATGAGATTGTTGTGCAGTCTCTAAACTATTTCATATGTTACCAGGTAATGCCCACTGATCTATATAGCTCTCTTTTAAAGCTCAACGAAGTGGCTTATAACGTGGAAATGCATAGCAGACAAATATGCTGGACGCATGTTGATTCTAAATGTGGAGGGAAAAACCGGAGGACCCGCAGACTAATCCAAGCGACCAAGGGGAGAGAGAGACATGCAAACTCGAAATTTATAGGCGTCAGGGTCAGGATCGAACCCACGACCTCCTGCATAGTTAACATCTCGTCACTGTTGACCTCTTAAGCCACCTGGCACCCTTCACACATCATTTCAACATGCTGACCGAATGCCTCATCACTTGTCCCTTCACGTTTCTGATTTGACGATTTGTTTTTTTCTATACAATGTTGGCAAGACCAGGATCTTCGTACACCCGCACGTGCCACTCACCACGTGTCACCACTGCTCACAATCATCTATTTTTCCCCAAGTGCCTGTAATCTTGCTTAATTCAAAAACGCTTTAACTCTTATATATTATACTTTCAACCGTGCTGTTTGTTGCTGACCACTTGGTGTTTCTGACCTCTGGGCATGTGCGCAGTAACTGCAGATTTGTTTAAAAAGAAATAACCCGAAGGTTGCGCAACAATGTCTGGCTCGATTTCTCTCACGGGACTCGCTCCTCTCATACGCAGAGAGGTCCGCAAACCACGCTTGCTCCGCCGCTTATTTCCAGCAGGCAAGGGGCACGCCACAGAGTCGATTAAAACAAGCCCTCCCCCCACATCCGATAGCGGAAGCCAACAACAATCTGCGCAGCCTCAATTGAGTCTTGACAACAAAGAGGCGTTTGTGCAGCTCGGCAGCCAGTACCCCGTCGCAATGTCTTTTGTCAGCCAAACAGAAGGGGGAGAGTGATAAATACATGTACAGATCTTCAAATTGATCATATAATTAATAAAAACACTTCGATTTAAAGCTTTCGTGACTGCAGGAATTCATCTTCTTGGTTCTTTCGGTAAAGTCACGTAGAAGGGAAGTAATAAAAAAATAAAAATAAATTATTTTATTATTTTATTAAATTATTATATTATTATCTTATATTATTTTATTATATTGGTTTATTATATTATTTTATTATGTTTTATTTTTATTATTTTATTACTTCCCTTCTACGTGACTTTACCGTAAGAACCAAGAAGATAATAAAACCACCTTCCATCAATGCCTCAATCCACCAATGGTTAAATACCTCTCCATGTCATGTCGGTTAGTGGAAGGAGGGGGCAGTTTACCATATTTTACCTTTGCAGGTCATTGGAGGCTGGTGAAGTGGGGGGGGGGGGAGGGCTGGGAAGAGCTGGAGCATTTCTGGTAACAAATTGAACTCCTATTAGCTGTGGCTGGAAATAGAACCCGGACAACCATGCTCACCGTGGAGCGTGCTAACCACTGCACCATTTGCTTCACCTTCCAGTACTTGATAAGGAAGTGCATTTAAACCTGCAGTTGATGTTTTTCCGTACACATTTCACAGCTCACATTAATGAACGAATGCCTCAAAAACTGACAATTAAAACTAAACTAGCCGAGGGCGATTCAATAGATCTAACCGTGCTCAAATTGATTCCCGAACTCCTGCCGAAAATGGCTCCAATCGGTTTTAATCCAATATCAAATAGGCCGGCGGATTGTAATATAATAAAAATGGCCCAAAAAACTCCAATCTCACGCAAAAAATCTCACCAAATTGCAGTACAATTTGAAATCGACCTGTTTGGAAGCCATCCCATGTTCCTTTTAATACTTTCA